CACAACCCCAGGAACAGAAGCCGGCAACAAAAACAAACACTATGATGGAAGACCTAAAGCCACAACCCCAGAACCCTGAACCCCAAACCTAGCCAACCCTGAAACGGAAAAGGTAGCGCTAAAAAAAAAAAAGCACCGATATAAAAACCAAAACCACAGAACTCTAAACTAACTTAAAAGCCCAAAGCCCCCCAAGGCCCGAACTTCAAACCTCCCCAACCCTTAAACCGAAAAGCTATCTAGTACTAAAAACCCACTTAGAGCCCATCTAGCTTACAAGCCCAGAGGCCCTTAAGCCCCGAACCCCAAACCTCCCCAACCCTTAAACCAACAAACTATCTAATGCTAAAGACCTTAAACCCTATCTAACTATAAACCCAAAGCCCCTTAAGCCCCGAACCCCAGACCGCCCCAACCCTTAAACCCATAAGTTGTTTCACACAAAAAACAACTTAAACTCTATCTTGCTTAAAAAGCCCAAAGCCCTTTAAACCCCTTAAGCCCCGAACCTCCCCAACCCTTAAGCCCAAAAGCTATCTAACACAAACCCTAAGTAAAAACCCAAAGCCCCTCAAGCCCGGAACCCCGAACCTCCCCAAGCCTTAAACCTAAAACCTATCTGGTACTTAAGCCAAACCAAGCCCCGAAATAAAAGCCAAAACGGCAGCACCCTTTCCCAAACTGAAACCCTATCTAACTAAAACCCAAAGCCCTTAAGCCCCGAACCCCAAACCTCCCCAACCCTTAAGAAAACTACCTCATACTTAAGCAAAACCGAGCCCCGAAATTGAAGCCAGAACGGCAGAACCTTAAAGAAAACCTCAGCCCGGTCTACAAACCCAAGACCCCTTAAGCCCCGAACCCCAAACCTCCCCAACCCTTAAACCTAAAAGCTACCTGTAGTAATTAAACGAAAGCATTATTACGAGGTATTCTTCATGTGGCTTTGACATAACCTAAAAGCTATTTAGTATTTAACATGGCAATACATACTTATTGGATGTTTCTTCATGGTTGCTTGCTTTCCCGCACCCACCCAAGCCCCGAAAGCACGATTGAAAATGGGTGGGAGGCCAGAACCCGGCCAGGACCCGTGGGTGTGGGGCCTGGCCGGGGCCTGGCCTTAAAAAGAGCCTGTGGCTGGGATTCAGAAGACAAACATTTTTCCCTTCGCAATTTCAAAAGGAAGGGGTGGGACAGAGAATTTGTGAAGGGAAGATTGCAAGGACTATCTCGTCTGCAGCTTTTGGTTCCCAGAGTAGAAGTTGCCTTCCTTTTCCAGCCCTTTGCAAGTCATGGGGAAGTGTGTGTGGAAGAAGCCTTCCGTGCAGCAGGGCATCTTGAAGAAGACCAAGAACGAGAAGCAGCCGAACCAAGAGAAGAACACGACCAAGCCCAAGGAAGGGAACAAAGGCGAGACCGGCAAGCCCCAGGACAACCAAGCCTTGACCGAGGCTGCCCTGGCACAGTTGGAGAACAAGGACCCCAACTACGTCTCGGAGTACATCCAGAACTTGGGTGACAAAGAGCAGATGCGGTTGTGGAAGAAGTTCGAATCGGACCGAAAGTCCAGCGGTGACCAGGAGGCCTATGTGATGGCAACCCAAGGATTTGGCTCCAAGAAGAAGGCCAGAGCCCTTTTGATCACCTGGCTTCAGGGCGGCTGCAGCAGCAAGTCGACACCCTACATGGAGCACATGGCGAAGTTCTCCACCTCGGAGGTGAAGGGCAGCAAAGCGGTTTGGCAGCCTCTTCACTTCATGCTCAACATGAAGTATGGAGCGAGAGAGCTGAAGGCGAGGGTGCTGGCAGGCACCATTGCTGTTCGCAAGTGCCCCCAAGACGAGAGATTCCCCGAATTCCTCGAAACCTCGGACTACCAGACGACGGAGGCGAAGAAGGAGATGGCCAAGCAGATCCAGCATTCGGGGAAGTGCACCTGGAGCGACTTCAAGGTTCTCCACGACCTGGACAACCAGAAGCAGGAGCTTAAGTTCGAGCTCCCCAAGGACGAGAAGGATCCCAAGAAGAAGGCCGAAGAGACCGAGGACCACCTCACGGCTCTCATCGGCAACAAGAAGACTAAGGCCGGGGAGTTCGACGACTTCGGCTTTGGCAAAGCGGGAACGGGGTCGCAGGCCTTTACAGCTGACAGCAAAGCTTTGAGAGCCCTGGAGAACTGCGAAGGCCTCGTGTCAGGCAAGACGGTGTCCAAGGACAAGCTGCAGCTTGCTGTTGTTCGTGCCAAAGGTGCTTGCGGTGAAGTCCAATCGCTGTTGGAGGAAAAGCTGCTTGAGGTCGATGGCAAGGAGAAGAAGCAGATCCAGGGCAAGATGACTGACTTGAAGGAAGTGCTCAAGCTTTTCAGGTCCAAGAAGCTGGACGACAAGAAGCTTGTCGCTCTGGTCCGCCGGTCGGCCAAGGTCGCCAAGTCCTGCTCTGAGGTTTTGTCCCTCGAGGACGACAGCTGAGAGCTCTTCTAGAGGAGGCTGTTTCTAGGGACTTCGTTTTCGCCTGCACCCTTCAAACTGTAAGACTTGTAAGCCGCCAGGGTAAAGCACAGCTTGAGCGATCCCGTTTTGAGATTCTGGCCTCCAGATCCGATTTGATCAAAGATTTCATCCGACAGTAGACCTGCTACACTGCTGCCGACGAAGAGTCGATGGTGCGGAGCCCACTGCAGTGAGCAGTTCCCGAGAAAAAAGTCGTCAGGGCGATGCAGTGTTGCAGCTCAGGGTCTTTGCCTTCGGCGCTTTTTGTTGTGTTGAGGGAAACCATGCACCTCGAAGCTACCTCATGTTCAAACAAAGGTACGGGCTTGCAGCCTTGTAGCTGCCATGGGCAAAAGAGCCGCTGATGGCAGGGGGGGGCACCAGCAGAGACGAAAACGAAGAGCTCTCGGTGATGAGGATGCTCCTGCAGCAGATGTGGACTTCCCGTCAAGCTCTGCTGGGCACAAGCTCGTGTCCTCCTGGGCTTGGGGCGAGATCTCAGCTGGCTCGGTGCAGGAGTTCGCCAAGTCCATGGTTGAAACCTTTGGCGATTCGGCGAGCGATGTTTCGAGTTTGTCTCGCCTAGGGGCCCATGGCCACTCCGAGCAAAACTGCAACAGGGATTTGCAGCAGTTGTTTCGAGGTATGGGCTGGATTCCAGAGCCTGTGGAAGTGGACTGTGCTGTGATCCGGAAAGGGACGGCTGGCAGGAGCAGCAAACGAGCACCTTTATCCATCTTTCTGCCGCACGACTGGTTCTCTTCCTTGGCCCAGGCGGATGGCATGTTGGATGCTGTCTTCGGCACAGAGTCCGAGATACGAGATTTTTGGGGCCGAGTGAAAAGCGACGATCCCAGGCTTCAAGGCAATCCTCTCAAATCTCAGAAGATGTGGCGAGAATTGTTTTATCCCTTTGTGCTGCACGGAGATGCGGGGCCTCACCAGAAGCACGATTCCATGGATGTTTTGAGTTTCAAATCTGCTTTGACAGATCTCGGTGTGAACACTTCTGTCCTACTTTTGGGAGGCATCCCAACTGCTTGCACCAGCTCAAGCAAAACCTGCAAAACCTTGGATGTTCCATTCCTGGGAGATACCAAGGACGAGTTGGGAAAGTGGTGGGTGTGGTCCTGGAATGCAGTCTTCCAAGGAAGGCACCCCGAAAGGGACCCTTTCGGTAAAGCCTTTCCTGCAGGTTCTCGCCGTGAAGGTCTTGCAGGCTCCCTGCTAGACCCCCAGACAAAAAGGAGAGGGGTGCTGTGGGTAGCCCTGGCGGACTGTGAGCACCTGAGTCTGAAGTATGGTTTGCCGCACCATGCAGCTACCCAGCCCTGTATGAGGTGCAGGGCGAACCAAACAGATGCTCCCTGGAGAGATTTGTCGACGAATGCCAAGTGGAGAGAGCTTTGCTACACACCCGACACTGTGCTTACGAAGCACTGGGTCGGCACTGTGCTCGGAACCAATCCTTTCACTTTCGTTTTTGATCCGATGCATTGCCTAGAGCTAGGCCCTGCAGGCACAGCAATTGCCACGGTTTTCTTTGACATGTGCTACAACGAGCTGTCTGGAACAAAGCCTCAGAAGTTGAACAAGTTGACAGAAGAAATTCGCGAAATCTATGACCTTCTCGACATAAAGCAGAACCGGATCACCCACCTGGAGTATACCTACTTTTCTGTAGAAAATGCTCCACACCAAAACTTTCCAGACCTTTCGCATGCAGCTGTGAAAGCCAGGCAGGTTCGGTACCTGGTCCCTGTGGCAGCCGAACTGTGTCGTCGCTATACAGGCCGTGACAAATACAGAAAGCTGAGATTGACGTGCCTTGAGGCCCTCGACAGCATGTACAAGATCGTGGATCGGAACGATTTGTTCCTGCCTACCTCCGAAGCACGGCTGTACAAACAGAAGAGCCACCAGTTTGCAGTTCATTTTGCTGCTCTGTCACACATGTGCTTCGACAAAGACGAGAAGAAGTGGCCCATACGAACCAAGCTGCACTACTCAGAGCACATTGCTGAGGAAGCACGATTTCTCAGCCCCAAGGCTCAATGGTGCTATTCCGGTGAGAGTATGGTGGGCAGTGTCACGGCTCTTGCTCAGTCGTGCTTGTCTAGCAATCCACCGCACAAGGTGCCAGCCCTTGTCTGTACGAAATACAGAGTGGCGAAGCATCTGCAGTTCAAAGCTCTCTGAGTGGCACGGCAGAAAAAAGTCACAAGATGACATTCCCAACCCAGGACCGGGTTCGAACCCTTGCATCGGACCTTAGGGCCGAGGCATGGGGCCGAACCCGGGCCTAGGCTTCTTTTGCGGGTTTTGGGTTTAGGCTATATGCCAAGATATATGGCATGTATTGATTATCATATTGATTTTGGCCTGCCCTCGTATTGAAATTCCGAAAGCATTTATATTGATATGAGCCCTTGGGGCCTGAAAACCATATATTGATATGAAGCGCTTTTTCAATATGATGTTGATGTTGACTTTGCTCATTGTAATTTTTCAATAACCGAGCCTCTGGGTGGTACCTTCGTGCATTTCATGCCGGCCTCCTTTGATGAGAAGCGAAAAGCCCCCGGGAATGAGGTGCTCATACTCGGCAACTAGGCTGTCAAAGTTGAGGCATCCACCTTCGACAAGCACCCACATGGGCTCAAGTAGGATGGCACGGCGATCGAAGAAGACTGCTTGCCTTAGTCTGCCATCGCGGTCCGGCCCAACATCGGTGACAATACTTTGCTCGGTGACTACAACAGCTGCGCGACAGTGCTGACCCATATAGTCATAATTCGCTATGCGGGCGCTAGCAGTGCAAAGTGTGCTGCGCCCAACCTGGTGTCCTAGAGCACGCGCAGCTTTGGCGACAAAATCAGCTGCGGATGCATCTGCACCCGGCCGATATGCAAGAACACTGAAGCCGGCATCATGCCCAACCCAGAACACCGATGAACGAGGTCCCGAGGGTGGAGTGCAGGATGCACTCCACTCTGTCTGTGATGAGATCATCTGATCCAGACTCCGGCTAGAGGGAGCTGGCAGCGCAGGCTGCTGAACAGAGATCAAGGAGGCTATCCCTATGTCAACGACAGCATGTTGTGGCCAGCGATTTCCCGCAAGGAACACTTCAAGGCTGTCCTGAGCCTCCAAGCCGACAAGCTTGAGGAAATCTTCTCTGTTCAATGAGCCTGGTACCTCGCAACAGAAGAGCCGTCCGTCTACAGACCTGGTATCAATCAGGACAAAGGGGTGGGCGGCTGCCCATTCCGGGACAGCGATCAAGCTGACATGGCTCGGGTCGGGCTGTGGCTCAACAGGGATTAACGAGTCGAGAGCAAAGGTCCATGGAGATTGCCGCCCTTCCTGCACTGCACTAAGCAGATCCTCAACATCGTATGGAAGCGAGAGTTCGACCTTCACAACTTCAGCCTGATACCTTGGGGCATGCACTGCGGCACACAAGCGAATCACACTGAAGATATCGCACCCATCACTCGGTACTGCTGGCTCGGTCTGATAATCCCCCGATCTGGGCATGGCATTGCAGTAATCTGTCTCGGGTGTCAGCGAGATGGTGTGGTGAAACACCTCGCTGCACGCGGCAGAGGCTGGCTCATCGGAGGCTGCTGTAGCACGGCCCTCAGTGCTGGTATTGGGGCGTCCGCTTGGTCGGTGCTCTCTCGGAGAAGAATCGCTGTTCCGCACGAAGGTAACAGTAACAACCGCACCATCAAGGACCTGGATATCACCTGCTTGGACGGCATCACCCTGCATGGTGAGCGGAACAATTCTTTGGCACGTTGACTCCCAAGTATTGCAAGAGCGCGTTGCCAGGTATGACGTCCCTACACGTAAACAAGAACTGGATCCAACCGCCCGCCGGCCGGCAGTCAAAGAAAACAAACTTGCCTGCGCCCGTGCTTCCTATAGCATCATTCTGCTGACGCGCGGCAGCAACAATGCCCGGGAGGAGGGCGCCATTCTGAACAAGCTTGAACGTAGGGCGGTCGTATGGCAAGGCATGAAAGGCCAGATGCTCAACACGGTGATTCATGGCACTCGCAGCATGCAACTGAAGTTCCTCATCAAAGCGGCCCTGATGCAAAACAGTGCGGGTGACATGCTCCGCAAGGATGCACCATGAATCACTGTCTACTTCGCGCCACATGTAGCGGAAGTCCTCCGTGAGGAAAGCTCGGTTCTGAAGGCTCGAGGCAGCATGCTCACCCCAACCGGGGTCACTATGCAACCTAACAAACCTGAATACAGTACCTGAAGCTACAACCTCTCCGCCTGCCCTGATTGGGGCGTTGTGCCCTGCACAAAAGATCGCACACGGTTCATCGGCGTGCAGATCGATGTGTTCACGGAGGTCAGCCTCGGTCACACGGGCCCATGTAATGAGGGCATAAACTGGCCCGCTCCAGGCAGAGAAGTCCAGCACAATTAGGACTTTATCGCTACTCTGTAGCCACGTGGGGGCAAGGACAGCAGTGACATAGCCCTCTGCAGGTTGTGGGTTGGCAAGGACGACTTCAAAATCAAAGGGGATGGGCTCATCCTTTACCCTTTCCGAAAGGGCTGTGGTCAGCTCCTGCATGCCTACTGGAAAAGATGAGGCAACACTCACGATCCTGGAGGGATAGCCATGTGCAAGCAGGAGGCCATGCACCTCAACCCGGTCTTGCTCTACAGCATTACTGTCATGGGCATGGTTGATCTCGGCATCAGCAGCCTCGGCTCGACTGCTCGAGTTCGTTGCGAAGGCCCCGGGTGCATTATCAGGGCCTGGATCCTGTTCGGTCTGGCCCGAGCCTGTCGCAACAGGCAAGTGTGCCCGTGCCAGCTCAGTGATGAGCTGGCCCTCAACAGGTTGAGGAGCAGCACTGCATAGTTGCACACTTGTTCCCAGCAGAAGATAGGCCAGCACTGGCCAGAGACCCGCGCGCTTTGTCCGCGATGTTTTCGGCTCGAGGTGCGCCGGGGCACGTTTCCGGCGAGGTGCAGGCCATTGCAAAATTGGCTGCCCAGGGGAAGCGACATTCCCGACAGCAATGACCACAGAAAGTGGAAGATCCGCGAAGGGCAATCGCAAGCACTTGCCTAAAGGCTGGTTCCGGCTAGGTGTGGGCCTTATCCAGAGCTTGCACAGGCAGGCCAAAAGGAGCCCATGCATAGCAAGCAAGAAGCTCCGTATTTGGGGGAATTCGGGATCCTCTGAAGGAATCACTTTGCTTTCAGTGAGTGCGGTGTCTGCAGCTCGGGCCTGCGTCCCAGAGCAACCGATACGCATGTTTTGCGCTCCTAGCTGCCTGACACCCCTACATCTGACTGAAATACTGCTATCAGCTAGCAGGCTAAGTGAGGGGAGGCACCCGCGTGCCAGGTTGTGTACGGCCGGGTCGGCCTCGCTGCAAGGGCGTGGGTTAGAGGCCCTAAACCACAAAGGGAAGAAGGGTGCCCCTGAACCACAAGAAGACCCCAAAACTTGCAGTCGAAGGGAGGAGGTTTGGCTCCTATGGCCAAGGCAAGGAACAGCCCCACTCCGAATCCAAAAGGGCAGCTGGGCTCGTGTTGAGGCTGCGGAGTTGAGGAGACAGCCGGAGCAACGACGAATCAGGCGACAGCCCTGTTGAGGTGAAATTCCAAAACCAACAGGCTGTCCTCTGACAGGGATGGAGAGGGCATCCAGACGATCTGCAAAAACCCAATGCAGAAACATCCAAACACCTTCCATAGGGTTCGTTGGACCCAGGACGGTCAGTGCGCCTGTCTGTACACAAATCCTACCGCGCTCAGCAGTCATCTCACTAAGGCCGCGAGGGAAACCTCGCCCATCCGCTAGAGAAAACACAAAGATCAGATTGTAGCCTTGCCCGGGGTGCAGCTTTGCCGACGAGTTCAGCCCCAGTGAACTCAGAAGGCATGGGCTCCTCAGGCGGCAGCAACCTGAATGTGCTCTCTCACCGGTGAGCGAGGTTCCGATCGCTAGGCCGTCCTCCCTGGCTCGTCGTCGGAGTCGGCATGGATGGCGTTCGGTCTCGTCTCCGTCCCTGACAAGGCGTGGAGGCGGGCATGAATTTCCTGGTCTGTGAGGAAAGGAACGCCCCCCTGATCCGTAGAGCTTGTCGCTGGGGCCCCAGATTGAGGCGGTTCCGCGGCAAGGGCGTGTCCAGGAATCCCGAAAGGCGCCATTGCCTGGCGGCGTTGATCCAGCTTCTGTCCCAGTGATACGCCCCCTGTGGGTGGTGCCGCTGCAGGCGGCCGTGTCTTCACTGAGACCCTCGCTCCGTCTGGCCCCTTGAAGTGCTGGCTGGGCGACGGAAGGATCCCCGCACCACCGCTGGCGCTGGGGCTCTGCAGGTAGGGGTCTCTCACCACATTGTTCACATATCCGTCCGGCGCTCCGGGACTGGCAACGTCCATGCCGTGCCCCGTCGTGGGAGCCACATGAGTACTCACTGGTGTTGTATCCGGTGGGAAGCCAGCACAGGCACCCCCAGTATGGGGTAGCACTGAGAGGCCGGGAGGTGCATGGAATGCACCGGCCATTGGCTGTAGGCTCCCCATCCAGGTAGGAGGTACCTGTCCACTTAGGGCGGTTGCCCCATGGCCCATGGCAGACGCTTCCCCGATGGCACGCTGCAGGATTGATTGAGCATCGAACCCATCGGTGTCCATCCGGCCCCGTTCCACCATCATGGCATAAGCGCGGTCCGCTTCCTCTGTGGCCTCCTCTGCTCGCCCTCCGTCTTGGAAAACTCTCGCAAGGCTCGCTCGGGCACCGGCCTGTGTCGCCATAGCCTTCTGCAAGTCCTCGCGGAGGCGGTCCATATCCCGGTGGAAGCGCGTGTATTCTTTCCGGAAGGCGTTCTTGTGCTCCACCTCGTAGGTTTTCCATAGTCCTTCGCGATCCGACATGGCCTTGTTCAAGGAGAGCACTCGCTGCTCTGCCTTCCTGGTAGCGTTGAGAGATGTCTGTAGCAGACTGGTCAGTCCACCCGGGTCCGTCTCCGGCTGGCTGGTGTCGCCCCCACGCGGCTGGTCGTTCCCATGCTTGCCAGGCCCCCTCTTCCTGTCGTAGGCAGGGAACGCGTGGCTCGGACCACCATCTTGCTTCCCATCTCCTTTCCAGCCCTTCTTCTTTGCACCACGCCAAAGCTGCCAAGAGCGTGGCGAGTACTCGTCCCAGCTGTCGTCCCATTTCTGCCCTCGTCCCATGTAGAGGCTTGGCACGACTCTTCCTGAGCCGTGGTGCAGAAGCAGCCGTCTCTGCTGGAGGTTGGAGAGCACGTGCCCGGCTCGCAGAGCAGCGCGGGCTTTAGACCGGCAACGTCGGCGGTGCCGGTGCCAGCTTGGTGAGCTTGGGTGTTTTCCAATGGCTCGGTCGGCGTCTACCTACGCCTGGGGCAACAGTGTTCCGTCCTGCACGGCGATCTGAGCCCTCCAAGCACCCAATAATCATATACTCTCCAAAATCCTAACCTACTTAACTACTATCCTAAAACCGAGTACCTAATTCTTGGGTCCTTTGGACCCTTGGGGTTTCTTCCGGTCCTGAAAACCCTTGCCGAAGCTGAAATGCTCAGGACCGCTCCGGCTGAGGCGTAGTGCTAAAATCGACCTGAGCCCGGCCCAACTTACGGTTTCTGCTTTAGGGTTTAGGGTTTATGGTTTCGGCTTTAGGTTGAAAAGGTTTGGGGCCTAATGACATGCAGCCTTAGTGTCAAGGCATAGGTTTCAAAACCTTCGAGCATTGGGGGTTGACGGTTTGGTACAAAATTCTGCTTTGGGGGCCTGTAGGTGTGGTCTAGTCAGGGGTGTAACTGTAAGACAGGAGGAACAACCAATTTAAGGTGCTGGGCTCAAGAGTTGACGTGAGGTTCGGGAATTTATACGGCTTCGGGCCCTAAACCCTTAAAACCCTAAACCCTAAATCCTAAACCCTAAACTCTAAGCCCTTAACCCTAAGGCCCTGCACAGGCCCCTAGAACCCTAGACCGTAAGTGCCACACCTTGCATGCGGCTGTGGGATTCTGAGATTCTTGGGTACATGGACCCTTCAGGGTAGAGAGCTGCGACGTTTCTATGGAACTCCGAACCTTGAAACGGCCGGAACCCTATATCACCCAAACCCTAAGGTCCAAACTAATGATTGAAGGTTTCGGGGCTTATGATTAGGGTTGAAGGTTTTGGGGCTTTGAGTTGGGGTATCTAGGGTTCAGGGCTTCGCATTTGAAACCCGAACCTTCAAAGCCATGAAGTCCAACTTCCGGAATCCCTCAACCCAGCTCACCTGCTTGTCCTCAGCGAGCAGAGTAGGCTTGGCATAAACGGACCAAGCCACAACCCCAAAATCCTGACACAAATCCAAATCCAGGAGCTTCACCGTTCAACCCCTCTAAAGAGAATAAGGCCTCTCTAAAAGGGTGCTTGGAAGGTTTGGTCCTCGGTCTTTACCCTAAGCCCCTAAACCCTAAACCCCAAACCCTAACCCTATAGACCCTACACCTGGGTTTCTCAGGGAGTTGATTTGAGCCGGGACGCTACTTGGAGGATCATGGGACTTAGTAAGTAAGGTTCTAAGTACCTTAATTGGGGTTATAGGTATAGTTACCCTAATTATAACCCCAGTTACTAAGTCCTCATGATCCTTTAAGTAGACTGGACTGGCAGTTCCAACCTAATGGGGGGCGAGTCAACCCGAACCTAAACCCCAAACCAGAAACAGCCTACCTCGGCCCTACAAAACCAACCCCTGTAAGGAGTTATCTACATAAGTCACTCAATAATGAGGAGCCCCAAAAATGTAGGTTATTTGGGAAGTTTCCGAAAATAGGGGACCCTAATATAGTACCCTAAATAGCAGGATTGTTATTATAAGGACCCCAAAACCTTAATTTTTCGGAAAAACTCCCACTTGGGGCTATCTTATAGGCCGTAAGCTCAGAAGCCCTGGGTCCCGAAACTGAGTTCGACGCCTGGAACTTCCCTCCTGGGACATCGAGCATGTCTTGGTCGGTGACTTTGTAGATCCTCACCTGGAGGGTTTAGGGTTTAGGGCACAACCTATACCTTAGTTGCTGAGTTCATAAGCCCCCAACAAGTGTACACCTTCAGTTTCATCGTGGGTAATATTATCCCCAAAAAAAGAGTAACGTGTATCCACTCAGCTACGAAGATACTTTGCAGTTTAGGGTTTAGGCTTAAGGGTTACTGTCATTAGGGCCAAAGTATATACTACTTACTTGGGTACATGGACCCTCAACCCTAAACCCGTCTCACCTGGGCCGCACACAGAACCAGAATCGAGGTACAGCTAATGAGGTTCTATGTTGATGCCTTGAAGCCTTTGAAGAATATTGGTGTCGTCCTCTTCGGCCCAACAAGCGAAAGACAAACTGTCTCAAAGGCCTACCTAGGTGTTGATGGTTGCCCATACCGTGGTTTCTGAGCATCTAGACAAGGCCACACAAAGCACACATGGATGGTAACGTGATCGAGCCCTACAATGTAGACTCATAGTAGATGGTAGACCATACTTCACCATCGTTGTTGCGTGATTCGAATGATGAAGATCTGAGTATTCGTTGACTTACGTCGTTACCACTGGGCAGGCCCAAAATAACAGTGAGAGGAAAACACGAAGAACAATTAAGAACAAATGCATAATCGGAAAGCAAAACCGAAAACGGCTGTCATGGCCTCGTAATGGCGACAACAAGACAAGAGCGACATCCGTAAGGACCAAATGACCCCAAAAAGTAGGGGGCCATAGAGCCCTAATGACCTCTATACAATGAATCCCTAGATGGTATATGCATCTTAAACCGAACACCCCCAACCCGAAAGCTGAAACCCTAAACCCCAGACGCCTAAACCTCAACGAACCTTAGACCCTTTCAGTGCTCATTTGGGAGTTTCCGAAAATAGGGGAATTTCCGAAAATACGGGCTCCAATATAGTACCCTAAATACTAGGACCCTTGTTTAAAGGGACCCCAAAATGAGGTACCCCTAAGTTTCGGAAACCCCCCCATTTCGTCTTTGAAGGACCGGGCCCCAGGCATGACCCTTTCGCTCATAGTACCGGAAGCCCCTCGCCCTTCGGCGCTTGGAGATCCGGGGTTTAGGGTTTAGGGTTTAGGGTTTAGGGTTTAGGGTTTTAGGTTTGTAG